TTGCCCTTTTCCAATCTTCTTTTCCTTAAAAAAATAAAACAATTACTTTCTCTCTTTCCTTCTCGAACCCACGCATTCCCTTTTTCCGTCTCGCTCCTATCATTTACTCCACCCATCCCAGAACCTTCTAGAAACAACAAAAAGAGCAGGGAAATTCTCCCCGCCTCTCTCTCTCTCTCTCTCTGTCTCTAGAGGAGCTGCTGCGGCTTCTTCTGGTTAAGCCTTGGTGCAACAGACCAAGCACTGTTCTAGATAGAGTTAGCTTTCGTGTAGGAAACGAACTTTCTTTTCCAGTTTTCTGTTTGGTTGGTGGGAAAATCCCTACACTTTGTTCATCCCAAAGCTCCACTTTCCAGGTACATACGTTTCCTTTAATTTATTTATTTTTTTCTGAAGCTGCTAGACATTTCATACATGAAATTAAATCAATTAATTCCTCCAGAATTTTCCTTTCTTCATTTTTTATTTTATTTTAATTGCTCCACGGTTTCTCTGCAACCAAATGAAACGTTAAATAATTTTAATTTATTTGTTATATTGAACAACAGTTACTTATTTGATAAATCAGTTGCTATTAGAGCTCGGATCTGAGAAGCCGAAGGCCTAGAGGCCATGGCGTCGTTGCAGGCCGACCAGAACGGCGACTCCTGCCCGGTTAACGGCGCTGGAGGAGGTGGAGACTCACAAAGGACGCTTCCGACGCCATTTTTGACCAAAACGTATCAGCTGGTGGACGATCCGTCCGTCGACGATTTGATCTCGTGGAGCGAAGACGGATCGGCCTTCATAGTCTGGCGACCCGCCGAATTCGCCAGAGATTTGCTCCCCAAGTATTTCAAGCATAACAACTTCTCTAGCTTCGTCCGCCAGCTCAACACTTACGTAAGCCCTCTCTGTTTTCCTCACTTTCCTCCTCTTTATCGGCAGCCGAACAAGCTTGAGCACGTAAATATTCTATTTTCTAATCGATTGCTATTGTACTTGCAGGGATTTCGGAAAGTTGTGCCGGATCGGTGGGAGTTCGCGAACGATTGCTTCAAAAGAGGTGAGAAAGGCCTCCTACGTGAGATTCAGCGCCGGAAAATCTCGCCGTCGGTGTCGGCGTCGCCTGCGGCGATTACCGCGACGTTGGCGACGGTGTCTGCGGTGGCTCCCGGGGTATCTCCGTCGAACTCCGGCGACGAGCAAGTGATCTCGTCGAACTCGTCGCCGGTGGCGCCTCCGGCTACGCTGTTGAGCCGAATCCGGAGCTGCACCACCACGTCGGACGTTCTGGAAGAGAACGAGCGGCTCAGGAAAGAGAACATGCAGCTAAGTCACGAGCTGACTCAGCTGCGCGGCTTGTGTAACAATATATTGGCTTTGATGACGAACTACGCTTCTGGTCAGTTGGAGGGCGGCGGCGGTGGCGGTGGGAGTGTATTGGATGAGGGTAAGCCTCTGGAGCTGTCGCCGGTGAAGGAGGCTGAGCCGTCTGGAAACGGCGTCGTTCGCGAGGGGTCTAAGGCGGAAGCTTCGGCGGAGGAAGAGGAAGACGAGGAGGAGGAGGAGGAGATGAGGCCGAGGCTGTTTGGGGTGTCGATTGGGGTGAAGCGCGTGCGGAGAGACGAGGGGGAAGAGGAGCAGCATCGGGAAGGGTCTGAGGCGATGAAATCAGAGCCGTCAGATGGGAGCTCGAAGCGCGATCAGGACTCCACGTGGCTGGAGCTCGGAAAGTGACGGACTTGATCGGATGACGATGGTGATATTATGATTTGTTTTTCCGGATAATGGAAGAGTGGACAGCACCGCACGAGGAGAAAAGTGCGCACGTGCAAGTCAAATGACTGTGATAGCGCCACGTCGTTTGTGGAAAGAAAGGATCAGATTTTCTAGTGTGTTCTGGAAACCGCGAAACGACGCCGTTTGTTGTAGTTTGGGCGCGGATGAAATTTTTCCTTGATCCATGAAGCGCCAGAAGAGTTAGGCGGGAACAGTCAAAATGGTGAGCCCGCCGCTTGTATAAATTAATTCCTTAAAATTTTTATCAATGAATTATTGTTTGTTGTTTCAAAAGCAGACGGACAAACAGAAACACGCCACTTTTGACTAGTTTGGTGAATGTATGTTAATGTTAGTGATAATTTAGCTAATTTCAAGATTAGCATGATTTCGTTCATTTTCATTTTGCTAGTGTCCAATCAATGTCGTCCGTTCCTTTGCACCTGAATTCGATCCCCTCTTCGTATAATCTAGAATGCCACTTTGTAAAACAAAAAAACAAAAACAAAAAATCACGTAATTTGGTCCTTGGCTTGGCAATGTGAGTCATCCATCATCTTTCTCATGGTTGATTGAGGACTGACAATGGACTTTTCATCTTAGGTTACAAGATTCTTTGGATGTTCGTTATCCGTAAGGATAATTGTTTGGCCCTAAAATGGCAAAAGACCCGTTATGCGGTCCTAAATTATTAATTGAAATTTATGGACCATGCATGCATGCCTACAGAAATGGGCCGACTAAGGGTTCTTCTAGCCTTTTGGGCCACAAAAAAGAAAGTTTCCATTGAAGCTTTTCTTACTTTTGATCCCCATCATCAACGCGTTGTCAAAAAGGTAAGTAACATTGAATGGGAAATAGGACTTTGTTCTTGAATTCAACTTTCTCTGTCTAGGCAACTACTTTGGATATAAGCCCAATTGCATATAATTTATCGAAAAGCATTACAAAATGAATTGAATTTATGAGTTGGATGTCCTTGCCCTTTCTACTACTAGTTTTCAAATTCTACTTTTATGGATTGAAACAGAGAGTTTTGGGTCCAGATAAATGTAGTTTGTTATATAATCTCACTGTAAATTTTGTTTTCTGTATACTAGTGCGACCACTCAAATGGAACATTACATGATAAAAATAAGCATGTTAACGGTGGTCCCGTTAAAATCTTCTTGAAGAAAACCACATGGAATAAAACCCAAGAATATAAAGTACTTCTCATGCTAATGACTAATCATAAGAGTCAAACACCATCTAGAAGCCAGGGAGGCCCATCACCCAACCAAAAACAAAGCTCCTCCACACAAAAACTAAAACAACTCGAAACCAATCCTCCATAATCAGATAAATGTAGTTTGTTATATAATATCATTGTATATTTCGTTTTCTGTTTGGAATGTGACCACTCAACTTTCCTCATGGTTCATTGATATGTGACAAATTGACTCGTTATTCTCCGAATTTTGTCTATTGCAATGTCCTTGTGAAATTATTGAGAGTCAATCTAGACTTATAAGTCCACTACTTGGAAAGTGCCGAGAACTATAACAAATATACTTACAAGCAAGATTCTCTAAGGATCCTAATTAATTGGCTCTCTTTATACATGTTAATAATCGTTAATATATATTCGGAATAAGGTACTGCATACCTTGCGGAAGATTCCAAGTGAAAAACCGCTTGCAATTACTAGCCCACCGTGATGCTTCCACGTCACGAACACGCCAACAAGATTCTACACGTTCTTCGTCTCCAAGGTCTTTGGATTGGCTATGAAAGTTACTCCATTGATTCCACGTACCCAAGACCAAGGCTCTTGGTGAATTGCCTAAAGGAGAGTGTTTAGGGAGATATGAGGTTTCTCTCTTTGTGGGTGTAAAACTCACTACAACTCTTTGATATGCACTCACACTTCTTGTCTCACACACACCAACTTAGAGAGTATGCACTAATGCTTCTCATCATTTGTTTTCACTTGCACACACTCCATCTATTTATAGGAGTTGTTTTAGCTCATCTCAAGAGAGCATAAAACATACACTAGTGCTTAAGTTGGTAGTGCCTTAAAACAAGGTTTAGTGCCTTAAAACAAGGATTAGTGTAGTGCCATAAAACAAGGCTAAGTGCCTTAATTTGTGTAGTGCCATAAAACAAGGATTAGTGCATAATCATTGTTTTATTACATCTCCCACTCACCACATAGGGTGTGATGACCTTGTTTTATTACATCTCCCACTCACCCACATAGGGTGTGATAACCTTGTTTTATTACAATACATATATATATACACACACAAAAATGGAACAAAAATGGAAAATTGAGAAGTAAATGGATATCCCGATCTTGTGGTGAGTCAACGAGTGCTTCACTTTTGGTTTCTAAAGTCAACACAATCTGCCAAGAACATTATGTGAATGTGAACCCTCACCTCAGCTAGAAATTCTTGCTGCTGCTGGGCTGGGACCTATCTATAAAGTAAAGTGGCAAAGCTTTTTTTTTTCTTGTTTGCTTTTGGGCAGTACCTAGTTCTAGATGGGTTTTGATACGTGTCTTGTTATTTTTATATTTGTGCCGACAACAACTAATAATATTATGAAAAGCTCAGCGGAATTTGTATGCGATCACCAAAATTGGGTTGACTTCAATTCCACTCCATGGCCATGTGTTTATATTTTTCCAAACTTCCACCATGAAATTGCTCTGCAAATTAATTTGCAAGGAAAAAATATTAATGCAGACGACCAAAGACGGCACTTGCAATTTGCAAATTAAAGACAAAAATTATAACAAAACGACTTGTGCATCCGCCGTATACTCCCATGACAACTTGGTGGAAAAATAAATCGAGGAAAGAAGCTGCCTTTTGCTACTTGACAACAATTTCGACCCCACATTAAATGCATGGTTTGAGCCACTATCAATACAAGAAATTAATATTAGTATAATTTTATTTTTGCTAGAAAAACAAAATAATTAACAATAAACAACCTTGGTATGGGTGTGCGTTTTTTTGTTTTATAATAAAAATGATTTGTCGCAAACCATAAAATACCTTTAAATATTTACAATTATTTGTAATCAAAAATAAAAAAACCAAGCATATTATGGCAAAGAAAATTCAAACAGAAATCCGAATCCATCAAGAAGTAGCGAAGCTTAGGCTCTATTGCTTTCGAGAAAAACATTAAAAATGATTGGCACACTTTGTTTAGTGAGTGATAGGCATGTGTGTAAGGGCAAAACATCAAAACACAAAAAACTGTCCCACTAAAGTTGACTGGGCAAGCGTGAAAATTCCATTGCTTTGTTGAGTGTATGAGTCGTATATAGCTGCATCATCCACCCTTTCAAATTTCTATTTCCAAAATTCTCCATTATTATTCCACAAGGAAACTGCACTGTAATTAACCCCCTTCAAACCCCTTGAAGCTCCCAAGGACCCTCTCTCGCTCTCTCTCTCTCTCTCTCATATTTAATTTCCTATTACTGCTACACACTTTCACATATATTATATATGTGTATATATATATATATATACACAAACTCATATATATATATATGTATATATGTATATAATTAGACCAATCAACTCCAACCCAAGTTCAATATCATCATGTTGAAGGAGTACAATCACTAGCCACTGATGAAGATGGAGATCACAGTGATATCAGCCCAAGGCCTCAAAACCACCTCCCCTACTCTCTTCTCAAACAAGATCAGACCCTTCATTACTCTCACCACCACCAACGGTGATCACAAGTGCCACGTGTACAGCACAGGGGTGGATGATGAAGGAGGTATCAACCCTACATGGGGTGACAAATTTCATGTCCCTCTGGACACAAGCTTCTTCACAAACAGGTACTCTTGCATATATCTGCAGCTTTACAGCAAGCGGCTCATAATGGGCCGGACCCAGTTGGGCTGGTGCCAAATCTTGGCCCAAGATATTGGGTTTCCGCCGGCCGGTTCAGCACGGTACTTGAGTTACCGGCTACGGGCTAGAGACGGTTCCAGGACCAATGGGATTGTGAACCTTTCTGTGATGTTGGAAAATTTCGGTCCGGTCAGCGGTCATGGGCAGCCAAACTCCGTCGATGCGCCGTCATTTGGCATGTGTGGCACATTCATTGGTACACCGGTGACAGCTCTACTGCCACCTTTGGGTGAGTGCTCTGTGAGTTGTGACGGGCAGTTAGATCACGTGGGTTTTGGTTGTAAAGAGGCACATAGATGGGCCACGTGTGATTCTGAAGGACTTGATGACCCTTCAAGAAATTGAGAGAGTATCTCAACGCGCGAGTATTACCACTACATTAATTGATCAAGTTTTCGAAAAATATGTGTTTTATGTACCAATTAGCTTAGCTTTTGGTTCAGTATTTGTCGTTTAAATATTGAAAGATATCGCAAATTTGAATTATTCATTTATTGACGTTCAAAAAATACGTGTTTCATGTACCAACTAGCTTAACTTTTGGTTTAGGATTTGTCATTTAAATATGCATCTTTCACTATAAACACTGTTTGTGATGGTAGTAGCATCTACCATCACAATCGCGAAGAAAAAAGAGGAAAAAGGTAAAAAGAAAAGAAGGGAGGTGTTAATTTAGGGGACCAAGAAAGCAAACTAGCACTAATTGTCACTAATTGTCAAGTACAAGTATTGGAAGATAAAGTGAGTAAAGCTACTCATGAAAATCCAATGAGGTAACTATCACCACTCATGCATCATCCTTCCACATTCCTCCCAAGTGTAAACCCATGGCAACTCTATGTTCATCTTTACCTACAATCATTGCAAATCCCATGATTTTATCAAAATGCTCTGAGTGTGATGGGCTATCTAATTCACAACTACCGTGGTGACTCAAGCAATCAAGAGCCCACCTGAGACCGTATTTTGTGTTTGTCTTTTCTCAAAGTTTTATCCCCTCCATGTCTATCATGTAGATTATTTTTTTCTTTCTTCTTTAGAGTTTTGGGAAATATTTTTACTCGCTACTTTAATTCAATATGTATCCTCACTATTATTCTTAACACTTGACACGTGTTCATGGGTATAACCATAGTTAATTCTTTACTTTGTATTTGTGGAACCATAATTATACCCATAAACAAATGTCAAGTGTTGAGAATGATAGTAATGGTACACGGTTAAAGTGGTTAGCAAAAATATTCTCTTTTTCCATCGAGAAACGAAAGAATACAACACAAAATCTTGAATGCCAGAGAAAATTATTGAGTCTATTAGTGCTTTCCTATCTTGAACAATTTGAAGTTGTTTAAATGCTCTTAATCATTACAGCTATAAACTCTTTATCACTTGAGTATATTTTACGTCTCAGAAAAAGTAAAATTTGAGGAAGTACTTGAGTGTGGGATCTCTTGTTGGAGATGCGTGTTGTTTGCACCGAGGACATGGACGGTATGTCGGGACTCTAATTTTAAATTATGAGTGCTGATTTTAAAACATAAAGGTGTAATTCATTACCATATTATGTGGAAGATGCAATTGGATTTTAATACGAAATTACTTGATTTAAAGTTTTAGGAATGTATTCTACTCGCAATATAGGGGCAAACTATTTTAAAATCTCCCAATTTTGGGCCGCTGCAGAATAACAGAACTGATAGTCTTTTGCTATTTTTTTGTTTTGCCCCCCTATGTTCAACGAATAAATTAACGCACAAACTAGCATCGTAATGGAGGTGGTAGTTTGCTAATAAGCTGTACGGATACCGGAATACAAAAAATTGGCTGGCTGCACACAAATCTCGGTGCCTCATTCTTCTACCGATACGGAGAGCCAACTCGATGCCCTTTCGGCATCTATTTGAGAACAAGTTGCCTTACAGCCCGTTCTCTTGCTGCGCACTACCACGCCACGTTCCTGATTTCAGATGTTGCATCTTGAAGTTTCTTCTTAAATGTCTTAAAACTAGTAGGGCTCATCTTGTTCCAATGAAATGACGTGCTTCGATTCGTTAGATCTGATCTGAGAGGTGACCGGGAAGTTGGATCCTTTGACGGAGTGTCTTCATACTCTGCAATTGAAAAAAGGGAAAAAGAAAAGCAAAGAGAAATGCTGACATGAGTGTAATATAAACTGACTATTTCTAGCCAGAGAAATTTGGTTGTAGAGCTGCAGGTTAGACCATAAAATATCAGAAGCAAGAATTATGTAAGCTACCTTTTTTTCCAATTATTAAACCAGAAATAGAAAATCAAAATAGAGAAACATCATCACATTGATGTTAGTTGGAAATATAATGTCTTCAAAGAAAAATTCTAAATAAAAAGCGAACAGTTCCAAGCCATGTTTCCACTAAGTTTTTCTGTTTCTTGTGATTCTGAAGATAAAATAGTTTGACTATCATTCTTGAAGCACATTCTTTTAAAAAATAAAGAATCATTTCAGAAGCAATTGTGTCAAATGCTTTAACAACATATTTGCTGTTCAATGACGTAAACATGCTCCTCTCCAAGATTTAAAAGGGAGAACTTCCTCCTGTACACAATCTTCGTGGAGATCTTCTTAGGTTAATCTCTAGGACGCTAGGATGGGCTCAGAGTTCCAGTATAACATAATAGAGCAAACCGCCATCCCCACTTTTTCCAATTTTTTTTTAATTACCAAAACGCACTTTCTCCACTAGCATATAGATCATTATTGCATTATAACCCTATCTTTCATGCAATGAAATAGATGGAGAGGAAAAATCACCTGAAGACATGGGGAACTGATATTGCCTTTTTAAGAATTTGGAGGCCTCTCTATCTTTCTTGTGGCATAAAATCCGCACCAAAGTGTGAGCATTATTTAAGCGCACATGATTGTGATCATGTGAATCTAAGCCTGATGATATTTGTTCACTTGCAGCCATCAGCATTTGGATAATACTTTCAGTCTACAGAAACAGAGGTCGTGTCATGCTGCCAGTTTCAGCCTTTCAAGTTCAACAGAGAGGGTATACAATTCTCATTACAAGAGACCAAACCTGAAAAGAATACATGTTCAGTATCTGCTCAGCAAATTTTGCTTCCTGCTCCACTAGTGATCGAGGAAGGCCTTCTCCATCAGCTACAAAAAATTCCTAGGACGTTTAGCAGCAAAGCTCCATTAGCAACCAATATATGGTTATGTGTTGTGACAAAAAGTAATGAGTATGTAGCGTAAACCATCCCCAGGTACTTACAGACCCAAGCTATCTCCATAAGTTAGGGATGTACATCAAGTGGTATTTGTTTATGAGCTCAAGTTTATGCACGCAAGCATGAGTGACATAAACAAGTGCAACTTCCAGAGTTCTGGAAATTCTTCTCTTAGGTCATTGAGTTTGAAAGAAATTTGATATTAAAGTTAGTGGCAACACATTTGACCATTTCTTTCTGAACAAATTTACCTAAGCATCTAAGAATTAAGAGTGATTTTCTCTCAATGCTAGTTGGAGATACACAGAAACAGACAGAGACAGAGCACCATACCTTTAGTGTGGCAAGGTCATCCTCCATCAGTAAAATATCTGAATCACAAAATGCACGAGAAGGCCCTCCATCAAGCAGCACCCATACAAAGCCTTCCTAAACCACATATGATGCAAGATTAAAACCACCACAAGAAACAGACCACAGAAGATTAGTTTCTAATCATGAGACATACCAGTGATGCCCGAAAGATGCTTAAAACCACGACATCTCGAAGAGAATCATCAATTAAACCACATAGATGACCAAGGACCTACAAAAATGCCTCTAAGATGAAGAGAATCCACTTGACAATATTTGATGAAACCATAACCACAAACTTACACAGAAAGAGAGAGAGAGAGAGAGAGAGAGATTAATATCTTACAGTATCAATATGTGTGAGAACACCATCCAAACGAGCACCTTCAACATTACCACAGTATAAACCGAAAAGGAATGCATGCCTGAGATCCAAGAACACGACTCTTGCACCTAGAATTTGAATTTTAACAAACATGATTGAGCATAATTGTCTTCTATCATCATGCACATCCACACACTTATATAATTTAAATTTATTTTAATGGAGAAAACTAAGTGGGTTCCTTAATTTCACCAAGCGACAATGAGATATAAATAAGTTCACGGAAATATAATAATAATAATATTATAATAATACAGAATGGTGAGCAAGAGCAGGTTAGGCGAACAAGTTATATTAGACCATCAATTATCACCCCCTCCCTTGAAGCATGAAACTTAACATTCACATACACTCTATTCAAAATTTCAAGTGAAGCTAAGCATAAAAGCCTATTGCTAGAAGTGTATAGGAAAGCCACATATTTGGTCATTGTATAACAAACTTCAATGTAGCCACATTTCTGTAAGAGGGATTATCCATTGCCTGGTCATCAGTAAAACCAACTGTAGATAGAGCTTCATGGTGATGTTTCACAAATCAAGCAGAAGAAAGACAATTACAAATGAGGGGACCTGACTTTCAACATATGCAGACAAATATCTTCATTAAAAGAATGATAATGTTATGGATGAATTGAGACATACAGAATTTAGATAGCATATTATTAGCACGTTTAGTGAGTTGATAGAAAAAGCTAACTCACCAGTAAAGTCACAAAGTCTGCTGATAGCATTTGCTGCAGTATCCCTGATAATTTCAAAGGTGGTGGCAAAGAGCTCATCAACTTGTTCATTACATGTTGAGGTTCCTAGAGACTGTTTCTTGTCTGATCAAATAAAAATTACCATAAGCGTGTAAATATCAATCAATTCAGTTGTACTACTTGGGAAAATTGTCATTTTACTCTGACTTTGCTCGTCATCTTCCAGTTAAAGGAAACAAAGCATTTGTTTAACTATGGCATAACTCTTGTTAATGATATTACATGTGATTATAATGTCCTCAACTTGATTATCCATTAACTAAGCAATTGGACCTTCTGTGTGGAAAAAAAAAAGAATGAAGTTCTGATAAAGCATGACACATTCAAGTCTTAAGATCTGCCCTTTTCTGTGACAGCACCAACCAGAATCAGTTGATTGGTTGGTCCATCTTGCAAAGCATTGTCCTAATAAAAGACTAGGCAAGGTCAGCACCATGGCTATTATGCACAGTAGTAAAAGGAAAAAGAGTACCACAATAATAGTAAGTACTTCCTCTGTAATGCCACAATTCTAGTTTTGTCCTTATGGGTAAACTTTTATACCTAGCACGAAACCTACAACTTAACTGCAATAGATACAAAGGACATCACTGAGTATCAATATACAAAGTAGCATACCCCATTTTTTATCAGAAGAATGTCTGACAAGTGCCCAAGATTTTCTGATCCCCTCTTCTAGTAT